CAGAGTGGGGAGACCTGATATGAACCAAGTAGAAGGTCCTGTTGTATAAGCGAGGACAGATACAATATTCGTGTATAAAAGTGGAACGACCAAGAGATAACCTGATACACAGCCAACTCTCTCCTTAATTTTAATTCTGCTTGTATATAAAGAGTTGAACTCTATTGAAGCGACTCTGGTCTTTCTTCCATGATTATTTTATCGTAATTTATTTTTTAATAATATACTCTTGTCCCACTCACAGCACTCTCAACAGTCCCTGTCTGTCTAGGATTGACAGAACCACTCTTCATGTCAGAAAATTCACAACATAGGTGGAGAGTAGATTGTTGTCACTTGGCCCTGATTGGGAATCTGCCAGGCATAACGACCAGACCCGCAAGAGTCAAGTGGGTGATGGGTTTAAGGGGTTATAGACTGATGGTGTTGGTGTGATTTCTGGTAACTGAGCAAACCCGCCCTGGACAGATGGATATGCATTGGACACATGGCCAGGACGGCAACTCATGGCATTTCAGGGATCCCTTCCATGTTGGCAGAAACTACAGTGAATCAGGCAGTATATTGTCAAATATTCTCTGGTTTAATCTTAATAGGAGAACAGAGGCTAAAATCTTACCTGCCGAAGAAAGGAGAGCAATCCCTCTATAATTACCACATAATTCCCAGGCACCTTTACCCTTGTATATAGATATCATTGTTGTATCTCTCTAATCTTTTGGCACTTCTCCATCTCTCCAAACCTTTACAATAAGATAAGTTGACTTAAATGTGTTCCATCGTAATGGAATATCTCAGCAGGAAGGCCATCAACCCCAACAGCCCTGCCCATGTTTAGACCCTCCATGCCATGCAGAACCTCACCCAGCAATGGTTGGCTGTCAAGTTCTATCACTATGGGTCTTTGGGGTATTTTCTTGATAACCTCAGGGTCCACATTTGAAGGCCTGATCAGTAACCCGTCAAAGTGTTTTTTCCATCTCTTGGCCATGCCATCCATGTCTGTGAGGAGATTATTGCTGTCCTCTGTCCTGAGAGTAGCAATCTTGATGGATCTGGGGACAAATACTTGTTTCATCAAGTAGTACATCTGCCTGGTATTATTTGAATTTGCTGCATTCAGTCTTTCATCTGCTCATTCTGACCACCATTTTTCCTGCATAGTCTGAAGAGCATGTTGAGCTTCTGCTTTTGCAGCTTTAAACTCCTTGCAGTTTACTGCATTGTTCTTTGGACAGGCCTTTTTGCAACATCGAACTTCGTATCTGATTCTTTCTTGCAATGATCTCCTTGATATTGTCCTCATTTTCATCAAACCAGTCTCGATGTTTTGCTGGCATTTTACCCAAAACTACCTCAGCCTATATATATATATATATATATATATATTTCTTCAAGGAGTTGCATGAAGCTGTATCATTGATTTCAGCAAGTTGTTATTTTAGTGATTCCTGCATTTCCAGGAAGTGCAGTTTTGCAACATTCAGATGTGCAGGAAGCTTTCCATTGCCATCACAAGGGTCCAACAATCTGCACCACGCATAGCCCTAACAATATGGATATCCTGTATATCTCTCTTGAGGGCAATGACATAATCAATATGTATGTATGTATGTATATAGTACACACACATATATATATATATATATACACACACACACAGTGTATGTATGTATATCTGGTTCGAATCTCACAATGCCCGATTTGACAGGAAGGTGATTTCCTGATGTTATTGAACTGGATTGAGGTCGATCCCAGCGTGCAGCACCTTTGGAAAGTGCCTGAAAAGTATATGTGTTGACTCAAGCCTTGTGACTGAAATTGGGTAGATGGAACTCTTGTGGGTTGTCGATAGCTGTGCCAATATGAAGCCACAAGTCATTGTGGCTGAGGGCTTGCGCATGCTGGCCTTGTTCAGATTGTTGATCACATTAGATAACACATTTCTCTCCCAGAAACTGTAACTAAGATCTGCCCAGCATAGTTGTATAAACCACAGGTGGGCTCTGTGGGTGTTAAGCAAACACAAATGTGCCTGAGTGAGCGTCTGCAACAGAGATTTTCCTAGTAGATGGGTATCCTCAAATACATATATATATATATATATATATATATATATATATAATAAATTAATTGATTTAAAATATATAAAGTGAACATTCAAGTCAGCACACAGAGGCAACAGGCTGTTTCATGCTAGACGCAATAGTCAGGTGCGAGTGTTGGGTTTTTTTCTTGACTATTTACGGGTCAGTGGTGCATTGTGGGCAGTCCATTCTGGCAGTTATTTTGGCGGGAGTGATTTGTTCATTTATTTTACTTGTTTTTATTTATTTTTTTAATTTATATATATATTCTTTGTGGTTTTCGATGTTTTATTAACATAGAAAAATTTGAGATTTGTTTACGCCATTTATTTAATAGTTTGTTTTGGTCTGGGAAGATAAAGCTATTTCTTCGTCCAATTTTTGGATTGATTGCTGTAGTCTATTGTAACGGTTATTTTATTGGAAGTTTTTAATTTGTTTATTATTTGATTTATTTATTTGGATTGATTATTTTTACTTATTATTTTTATTTGTCTTAATGGTTATTTTAGTGGGAGCGGTTTGTTAATTTGTTCATTTATTTGGATTAATTTATTTTACTTGTTTTTTTCTTATTTATTTATTTATTTTGTATATATTTATTTACTCTTTTTGATTTTTAATTTGTAAGTTATGGAGTAATTTTTATTTTTTTTATCATTATATAGCAGTGACAGCTATTTTTTTTTTTTTTTGTCCAATATTTGTATTGATTGTTGTATCTTATTCTAACGGTTATTTTGGCGGGATTGGTTTGTTAATTTGTTTATTATTTACTTTATTTATTTGAATTGATTATTTTTGTTTATTTTTTTTTTTTTATTATTTTTATTCATTCTATTCCGTCTATTCTAACGGGTGTGTTTTGTTAATTTCTTTATTATTTGCTTGGGTCAATTTATTTTACTTGTTTTTTATTATTATTTTGTTTATTTATTCTTTTCAGTTTTTGATTTTTAAGTCATGTAATAAAAATTTGTTTTCATTTTGAGATGAGCTCAGATTGTTTATTTAGTAATTTATTTTGTTCTGGGAAGGTAATAATAGCAAAGTTTGCAGGTTTTGGATTGATTTTTATAAGCTGATGATCTTTTCCTTATTTTCCATGATATTTTTGGTGTTATTTGCATTTTGTTTTTAATTTCCCAGATATACTTAGAAAGCATTGTGCTGTTGGCATATTTACTATTTGTAAGGATGTTTTGTGTGCATAGTTTCTTTGTTTCCAGGGTCCTTCAGTTACTCCTATGTATACCTTTTCTTCAGTATCTGGTGATTTTACCGTTGATTAGTATATTACGTTGTTTTGTAAACAATTACTGTTTAAGGGACATTCTTTATTCTGCAGTTACACATGGGTTTAATTTGTTTGGGTGGTTTGTTGATAGTTTTCCTGTAGTGCTTTTTTATTTTTATTATTTGTACCATGTTCTTGGTCACTTTGAGAACTAATACAACTAGTTCCACTAAGCTTGCCAATTTTGAGATACACCGCTAATGATTTGGAAGTTTTTTTTTACATGAAGATTTTTATTATTATTATTATTATTTTGCCTGTAGATTTTGTCCGTCACATCTGAAGACCATTGATTGGGAGTGGGGGATAAATGAACGGTTTGACTGTATATAGTTTAATGACAATTACCTAACTAGATGTAATAAAATTAAAATCTTGACAATATTTTAGTATAATTTTTAAACTATACATTACCAAGAAAATAGAAACAATTTTTTTTTAAATTTGCAAGGCAAAAATCCAAATATTGTGAACCTATATTTATTCTTTTTCTTACAATGAATTTTTAAAAAATGTTACATCATTTACAGAGAGCTTCATTATGTATTTTATCAAATAAAATCCAGAAAAGATTCTTATCTTGTCAACTTCAGTAAATCAGTTGATAAAAAGAATTTGCATTATTTTCTTTTAAATGTGAGAATATTTTTTTCTTACAGCTACATACAAACTCTCTATATCTTTTTTAAAAACAAATCCATATTAACTTTGAAAAACCCAAGAAAAGAGTTTGGATTAAACAACTATATTGTTTAAATTAAATCTTAAACTTTAATCCTTTCCAGACTAAATTTATTTCTACATTTTACCAATTTTAAGGTAAACCAATTTTAAATTCAATTTGTGATATAATGATAGAAGTTAACCCCTCTGTATACATTTTAGTAGGATTATGAACAGGCATTTTTAGAGGCATTTTTACTCATATCTGGATTGGGCTGTTTCCATGGAAACTGAATGCAATAAAATACCAACATACTTTTGGCTGGCCAGTCTGGAAAGAGTAAAAAGTTGATTTTGAATTTTCAGAAATTATTTTCAAAATTTCAGACTAGCAATTTTATCTTGGTTGCTTGTAATATGCTTTATTCTTCCTCAACAAAATTAAGTGCCAAAGTTTTGCACATAAACAGGATAAACAAAATTTGATCCAACCACACGTTTATTCAGGAAACTTTCCTTATGAGAAAAAAAAAAAAGTATCAAAAGCAGTATACATACTGAAAAACATCAGCTGAAATACTGTTAAAAGCAACAAAAATTAAGATACTAGTCTGAAAAACATGTAGAATCATGAAAATATTACTCATAAGTAAAAGTAAACTTGGGAATTTAGAATCATTGTATTCATTTGAAAAAGCATTCAAATTCCTATATAAAACAATCTTCATCAAATCCCAAAATGTTAAACTATACAAAAATGAGGCTATCAAGCAAACATTAAGCAATAATTAAAAATTTCGAAATATCAAATTTTACCTTTCATAATTGAACTAGCTCAAGTTTTAAATCTATTCAAGGAAAAAAAGATTGTGTAAAATAGTTTATTCTTATTATAGTAACAGCACACAATGCACAACAAAGCATTTGGATAATGTTACAAATACCAAGCTTACTTCTTTTCGGTAGGGGGCTTCCAGCATAGCTTCCACATCAAAATCATCAGCCATTGTGTCTAATTAGATGTGTTCTGAAACAAAAAGAAAAATCAATTTTAAGATTTTAATTTCACAAATGTACAAATTTAATATAATGTAAAATTAAAAATTGTTAATGTCAGAAAATACTTTCATAAAATTTTTTAAAAATAAAGCCATTTGCCAGCCAAATTTACAAAATTTTAGTTATTTAGTAAGCTTAGGTCAAAAGTGAAAGGCTGCATTCAAATCATGAATTTTTACATGAGCTTGAATGTTGACCAATGGCACCACTGGAACATATATTCAACTATCTTAACCATTAAATTGCCTACTTACAAATTGATCTGCAAGATACCTAGCCCAATTAACATACAGAAAAAAAAAAACAATTCAAAATTTTACCTATATAATTTTAAACAGAGATTACAGAATAAAAGAAATTATCTAATATTATTTACAATCAGAATTATAATCTATTTTTGGTTCAGTGAAACAGACTTGTATGACATCACTTTTAATAAGATTTCATATCTTCAAACACACACATTATATAAAAACTAATTGACAGATTTTTATGAAAATTTCATACAATTTTTTGAGTTTAACAATTATTCTGTCATTGGTAAACAAATGTGAAAATATTTAAGGTACTTTACTGGTAGTTAGCTAATCCTACAGAAAATACTTTTCTAAATTACAAAGCCTTCACCAATGATTTTTAATGCTATCAGGGGGTATTATAACTGTAAAAATTACATGACAAATACAACAGGAAAGCCTCTACCCAGTAATCTTAAGAATTTAATAAAATATCCTAAGTAATTTAATATTTTATTGAATTTTAGGTACTTTGGCTTTATAACCTTACTTGCAAAGACACATATTGAAGAAATATTAGAAAATTACCAATAAATTTTAAAATTACTATAGTTACCATTCTTATTTGTTGATAATGTTGTGTGTGGACATCTGTATTTGCAAAAATCAACATGTTTATACGTACAAAATAAATTCAAAATTCTTTTTAAAATAATGGAGGTCATTGAATTGCTTTTTTTTTTTTTTTATTTATGATTAGTAAATCCAGTTTAAATTTAGTAACAATAACCAGATCTGTGTACAAACATTCCAGGACTGTTAGTAAGTTTCAAGTTGTGAAACTGGCATGTGTACACATGCCCACACACAGTAAATGGACATCAATTTCAAAAGCATGAACTTTGTGATTCATCATTTAATAGATTGGCAGATGAGATATTCAAAGAAAAGTTACAGCTGGTTCCAATAATTCATATCACATGGAACAGTTGAAAGCAGTTAAGAAATCAAAGTGTTGAAGGCTAAAACAACTGAATGTAGTCCTGATTACATTACACATTTTGTGTAGCATTCTACAGTTGCAGTTATACTACACTTGAAAATTTTAAATTACACACTAATTCTTACTGCTACACATTTAAGCTATCTAGATGACTCAAGAGTTTGTGAATGTCACAAAAATTCAACTGCTGCACATGGCTTTCATTGCATAAAACAAAGATGTTAACATTTTTTTACTTCATCTACCTTAGCATTCAGCTCCTCTTCCAATTTTAATATCTCTACTGACTTGTCCTTTGCAGATCTTCACATGGTATTGGATTTTGGGGTAAGTTCTGAGTCTGCTCAGTTTTCTTCACATAGCTGACTTGAGCAAATCTTGTGTGCAACTTTCAAGCTTATGCTTTTTAGTCTTCAGTTCTTCAATTTCCACAAGCATGGATTTCTGTTTTTTCTTCCTACTTTTTTTTTTTCTTCTCAGCCTCACAGTATTGGTTGTATGCTGTTCTGGCATTAGAAGCAATGCAGAGAAAAGCTTTAGTCATGGGAACATTCCCAGCATTTCCAACTGTGGCCAAATAGTCTGTGATAATGCACTGTTCAACCAGAGTTTGCTGTTTCATATTGCCAGTGGAAATTTTTTTATTGACTGAGAAACCTCTCTCCACTGAGGCTTGTCCATGAGAGAGTATCAGCAATCTGCAAACAACTTTCCACAGTTTTTGATATTCTTTGTTGAGTAGAACAAAGTGTCCAGATGATCAAACATGCAAATGAATCTTTTGTTGACACTTTCTTTTTTAGATGAATTTTGCATAGCCCTATCTGCCAGAAATCCACACACAATCTTTGTAGCATCTTTGTGCATATTTGGATTTGACAAAATTATTACAAATTCATTCAGTTTGAAAAATATAATTCTTTTTAATGTGCTCTTCCTTTACAAATCTTAACAGTTTCATGATCATGCTAAAATGATCATCTGCAAAGAAAGGAAGCAACAGTTTATCACTATATTTTATCAGAAACAAGGTCTTTCAAAACAGACACAAAGATATGCAGATTCACTGGAAATAAAATGTCATTCACGTTTGACAACACTGCAGAAAAGGACTTGGTCTAAGGACATTTTTTGTTTTTAATTACCATATATTTCCAAGTATAAGGTGACTGAGATAAGATAAGGTTAAAAAAAAAAAAAAAAAAAAAAATATAGCAAATTTTCATGAAGTTACCCAAAACCTACAGAATAAGATGACTGCTTATTGGTTATATGAAAATGTTATTGGAAATGTTACTTACTGAAGCTTTAGAAATTAAAAATAAATGAAATAACAAAACTGATTCTATATCATGTTTTTCCTACACACATCCCCTAAAAGAGAAGCCATTATTTTGCTTACGTTTCATCTCCTGCAGATATTGATTATTATTATTCTTCCTCTTCTTTTCCTATATCTAAACAATTACAAACAACCTGGTGTACTAATGGCTATTTACTTCATTGACATTCCCAAAATACTGTTAATAACAGTACAATAGTAATACATTCCATTGCTGTGAATACAATCATAACTTAATGTTTACATTTTCTCAGCTGAGCTTGCAGGGGTACAAGTCAATTTCATTGACATGGAATTATTCTCCGAATCAGCAATTTATTATGAAGTTATACCAATAATATATAAGGTAGAAATGATTTTATCACTTATTTAGGTACCTCTACTAATTTGCAATGCCTAAGGTATAAAATGAATTTTTATAAATGAAAAAGCTTTCTTGAAGCTTTTCTTTTAGCTTTAATTGAAAGCTAAAGGATTAAATTTACTATTTCCTGTAATCAAAAAACTCTGATGTACTTCAAACAGAAATTATATTGATTGGATTCAATTATTTTTCCCCCCCCTAAAATAGCTAATTGAATCCTTTTTTAGTCGTCTTTCATCACATTGTATTTCTTTGTATTAACCTTTACCACACTAATTTCTTTCTAGAATTGTTCCTCCTACCACAGCATTTTTTTGAAATGCAAAATAAAAAATGTGAGATAAAAAACAAATACATTAAAAAATACATAATTCAACATACTTTAAATTTTATTACTCCTTGTGGAGATATGGAGGTGCAATAAGTAAAATTGCTAAAAAGGCTTTTATTTTGTCAAAAAAGGAATGTGTCTCCCTGTGTTTACATACAAGAAGACATTAGCATTTGTTTGCTCTTTCTTTCACCCGACTCGTATTTGTCTCGTTGCCGAATAAAGTTATTATTTTGTCGTTTATAAATAGACAAAATAATTCGCCTCCAGAAAGGCTATCAGATATATTGATGGTTGCCAGTAAATTCCATAAAATTACTCAGGCATGAATAATAGTAGCTGCTAGTGGTCATCGTCGCTTTCCTCCAAGTCACTAGCATGGTTATCATCTCCAATCACTTCACAGTCAATATCCACTAGAGTAAATCCTTCAAAATCATCATCGGAGTCCCAATCAAAGAAAAACTCCCGAATAAAGGCTTTGTTGGATATTGACATAGCCATTTTTGTTTACAAAAGATTGTGACAAAATTAACATGGGTTTAATCAATGTTGCACCTCATGTAGAGTCTAGAATTCAAAATGGCTTTGGAAAATGGAAGTTTAGCCTTGTTCCAAAGCAATAGTAGGCAATTTCCAGAAATAACAGTTGACAAGTGTTTATTTATAGCAATCATCTCAGGCAACAGAATGTGCCTAGAGAAGCAAAGGGAGAGAATTCTACAGCGACTATTGTCGCCTGTGGTGTGGTAATGGTTAAATAATCTTCCAAAAATAAAATATACATTTCTGAAATATTATGTGATGAATATTAGCTGATTTAAAATATAATTAATCAGATTTGAAACAAATGTTATTTACTTTAAGTTTAAAATAACAGAAAAATGGATTTTTAAAACAAACAGTAGCGGTGATTACATACTTGTCATCACTCATCAATCATGTAACAAGTGCCGATAAAGATGTTGACAGTTTTACTGTTCTACAGAGATTATCTGTTAAGACATAATTTAAGAAAATGACAAGTGAGCGCCTTTTTTTATATGATTTTTAAGTACTTAGTAATCTTAAAAATGTTGGAAAATATTTTCTATAATCTAATTTTTGGAATGTTAACTTTAGATTTACTATAGCCATCACTCTTTTTTTTTTCTTTTTGATAATGTTGTGTATGGTCAACCATACTTAAAAAAAAAAAAAAAATTTAAAAAAAAAAGGTCACATTACATATATACATGAAAAAAAAAAAAAAAAAAAAAATTAAAAATCATTTTAAAAGTCTTGGTGCAAAAATGATTTGTATTAAGCTTTTCAATTGTTGCTTGTAAATGTAGATTTCACTTAGTAACAATATCACCTAAACAGACGAAAGTAATGCAGAATTTTGAGAGATTTATATCACTATACAGATGCTATCACTTCGCCAAGATATATTCGTTACTTGAAATCTTTGAAACAAAAATTTTAAATGGACGTTTCATTGATAACTTGGCTTATTGTCGTTAAGGAAAGGTTTACAAATACATGTCAATGTGTTGAAGGCCAAGTAAAATGCAAATTTCAAACACTTTTCTGCACTATATATGATATTCCTAAACAATTATTTTTTATAATGAAAATCAAAACAACTTTTGAATAAAAGAACAGTAATGAAGG